GTGCTTCTCATCCCAGAGTACAGCCACGAGCACTTTAAGGTGGCAGAAGTGACTTCAGCTCAACGTGCAACAGGAGCTCAAGAGTCCACAGCAGCACTACACAAGGTACCAGGACAGGAGGTGAGGCAAAGCAATAAAACCATTAGAAAATCAATCAGCACAATATTATGGCAACTGCCAGAGGAGAACTGCTGAGACTGAAGGTGAGAAATCTCTGTTGTGACAAAGTCAGTCATTAAGGTACCACACAGCTAAATGCAGGGGAAGGACAGCCATGCTAAACCCTGTGATCCTCACTGCCTCCTACCACCTACTAACCAGGCTCACTTTTATTTTGCTCAAGTTAGTGGAATCATGGCCTGGGGCATATCCTTTGTTTGCTTATTTGCTTTTTTTGCTGAACAGCCTTTTCATCTCCAACCATTCACTTCTCCCTCCGTCTCTTCCATGGCTGTGTTCAAGCTCAATTAGCTCTCCTTTCTCCATCCTTTCTCTCTAGGCAGGCACACTGCACTCCTTTAGCCATAACCACTCCCAAATGTGTCACCCCCAGCTCTTGCAGAGCTAATGACCGGCAGGGACCACGGGAAGCTGCAGGTGACATCCCACATCTCCTCTCCCAGGTCTGCAGGCACATCCTCCAGCTGCCAGAGAGCCACCAGAGCAGCTCCAGGTTAGTGACTGCTGCCCAGCATAAGGTCTGCATTTTTAGTTTCATGACTCGATGAAAATAAAGGTGGAAGAGAGACAAAAATAGCAATAAGGCTAGATGGAACTATTTTCAGGAGCTGCATGCATCTAAATTAGGACATGAGAGAAAGGATAGAGAACGGTTGAACATTTTTTTTATCCTCAAATAGCAGTAGAGAACACCACTGCAACTTCTAGCCAAAAGTAATGAAATGCATAATGTGTTTCTATCCTCTAAATGTCACTGGAGGGATGGAGGGGGAATCAACAAAAATCTGTTGCAGACACAGGAACATACATCACCTAAAGAATTATCTATTGTTTTATTAGAAAACTGCATTTTTAGAAAGGCAGAAAATCTTTGGCCATGTTGGTTTGGGTTTTTTCTCCTTTTTAGTGCCTTCTTCCCTCATTTTACAAAACCTTATTATTTAAACTAGACACTTGGGACCTGGACTGGGGATCAGAGACATGAAAGCACAGCTTCAGTGAGGCTGAAGTTCCCGAAATCCTCTGCCAAGCTGAATGTTACCAAACCTGTCTGAGAGAAGGGACAAAACCAGCATAACTCTTCTCACTAAGAAATTGCTTCCACAATCGGTTCCCACACAGCAGGATCATCGAAGAAGGAAGGCTAAGAAACAGCTGTGGAAGTAGAGGGAAAGGAAGACAGGCAGGAAAGAGCTACAAAGGACACTTCCTCCATCCCTGCATAATTTAAGCTGTGTATTTATGAAACACAGTGAAGGTCTAATTATGTTAGTTTGCAATGAACATTTAAGTGCAATTAGCCACAGTTTCAAGCTGGAGGGAACAATTATTTTTATTGCTGCTAATTAACGTACAGGATGCAGTGTAAGATTATTTTTCCCTAATTCTGACAGAGCAGCCTCAGCCACTTTGTTGCTTTCCTCTTTTAATATGACAGGTTCCAGCCCTGCCTTCTCTGCTGCTCATCACAGTCCCATCCCACTTATTTTTATGCTTTCATTAATTCTTTGGAATTTTACAGCTGGTGTAATTCATGTCCATATCATAAATACAGCAAAGCATTAAAGTATTTAAGCATTTTCTTAAGGTGTGTAGTCCCACTGACTTCAGTGGGTTAGACAGATTACAGAGCATTTCATTTCAGCAGATATTTTCCTGAAATTTGCATTTTTAATTATTTTTTTTTTCCATTTTCACCCTCAGGCTCCTGACAATCAAGAGTTGGGACTAGGGAGTCAGGTCCAGCTTCTCAGCTTTGTTGGTTTCTTGGTAACATTCCAAGACAATCTACTATATGATCATCCTGCTGGATGCTATCACCTCCTTATTCCTCTTTGTCTTTGGGGTTGAGTAGGACTGTTTCTAATTCTTGGGAAAATTGATATGAATTTGGCTGCCACATAATTCCCTACAGCTGTATTATTATAACAGATAATTATAGCCTTTTACCAAACCCAGCACATTCTGAACACTCATAATGCAGGCAGCTCTACTCAGCACATTTCAGCTTGGCAATCCTTTCAAAAAGACAAAATTTGCATTTAAAATTGGCCTTTCCTGATTTGTGGCATAATGATAGGCCACAATGGGGGAAAGCTTGCACTCCTCTTGTATTCCATCAAGACTGGAAAAACAGAAAGCTTACATTGTCCAAAGACTATTTGTGAGAAATACTAAAATCCACTGGAGCAGTCATAACTCAGACATAGTGCTGGTACTCTTGCAAGGCAAGAGGAGCCCTGGATTTTTAAGAATATATGCCACAGTCCCATATGTTACTCTGCTGTTCAATTCAATTAATTAAATGATAGAACACCAAAAAACAGGACCTATGTAAATCCCGATACCTCAATAATGAGACTCTAATAATCACAGGGTGAAGGGCATTAACTTTCCTTACATTTTCATCTGAAGCACCTGATACAAGCCATTATTGTTGGCTGTGGACACCAGAGCAAATGGACCACAGGGTCAATCCACTGCAATGATTCCCAGTGTCTCCTCCTCGTTTCTGCCATGTCCTCATCTGCTGCAGCTCCCAGGAGACATCAGGGTCAGAGAAAATGTTCCTCAGAGATGGTTCAGGTCACTCAGTCCAAGAACAACCTACAGGCTGACCTAAGGAGTGCAAAATACAAATTTAATATTTTTATTTTCTTTCCTGCTGCATCTCCTACCTTGGCTTACACTTGTTTGGAGCATTTTTTTCAAACAAGTTTCCCCACAGTACTGATAGTAATGTATAAAAAAGCTGCAAAGATCCTGAGAAGAGGCATTTGAAATCCTCCATGTCAATATGCAGGTACACTGAAATAGCTCACAGCACTCAGGCTGTTACCAGGTGGGATGTTTTAACATGACAGACATACAGCAGATCATCTTCTCCTAAAGCAGGGAAGGGAGAGAAGGAACACCATGTTCAGTGAGCACTTTGTGACATCCCTGATTTATGTAAGACACAAGTTAATGAGAAAAAGAATATGCAGATTCCCCTCATGGAGGCCCGAGCAGCTAGTGTGATGGGTTCCTCTTCTTGTAGTGCTTTAAAGAAAAACAAAAAACACTAGTAACTGAAGATGCCATTGGAATTCCCTGCAGCCTCTGAATAATTTTGTGAACTTCTCCTTGACAGGAGGTAAAGAAGCAATGCATACTGTGAGGGCCAAGCCTACTTCAAGGAAAGAGGCCTTTTATGAGAATTCTTTTTCCATGGTTAATTCAGAAACCAGAATCTGTGTATGAAGGTCACCAGATCAATCGAACAAACTAAATAAAATTAAATTACAAGCCATGCTGCTGTAAGTCCTGAAGTGAAATGCAGCACTCCTTGCCCTCAAAGCATTAACACCAACATGCACAAAGCAGCACAAGCAGAAAGACACTTTATACTCTGACTGAGAGTTACTGTGCTGAAATACAGCTCACAGAAAACACTCTCATCCTGAAGGGAGGAATAGTCTTCCCCTCTTTTGCCACTTCAGGCTGCTGGGGGAAGCCACCAGCAATTCCTGGGAGAAAGTACTTCTGCACAGGTACTGTGGTACTTCTACACAGGTACCTCATCCTGCAAGGTTCAAGGAATTTCCCCGGGATCTGTAATGAGTTGTTCTTGCCTTCAGCAGTCACAAGGAACAATTTCTGCTTATTGGTATGGCTTGGCATTGTACACCTGCAAAAAGCTTTTGAGAGTTTTTTTCTGAAATGATCAGAACTTGCTCCTCCCGCCCAGTGAGTGTGAGGCTGGAATTCAGGCACTGTGAAGTTTGAGCACTGTATTTTCACAGAGGACATGGTTTGCTGATGAACAAATGCCCCATTTTGGCATTCCCATGCTGTGTCTTTATACCTTCATCTCCTTTAATTAGGCTGTAAGACCCAGCTGAAAGCTGAGCTCTAAATGAATCACACTTTCCAGGGTAAATCAGGGTTGAAAGATTCCCAGTTGCCAGTAGGAAGGCTGGAAGTTGAGCACCAGTGATGGGAATGACTGTGACCCAAGTTCTCCCAGATAATTTTGAGCCTCACTCAGATTTTAAGTTTTTCCTATTCCCCACCAGCTTTTGCAGATAATTATAAGGCCTTGTTATAGCCACAACATTTTTTTTACACTGCTAATCCATAAAACACTAAAAAGGAGGAGTAAAATATTGAATTTTTTTAAAAGTGTTTAACACAAAGAACCTAGTGTGCAGTTAATTTAACACTGTCCTTCTCATTTCCCCTGATAATACATGACTAAAATTTAGCCAAATTTTTTATTTTTTTTTTAAGTCTTTATTAAGGAAATGTCCCTTGCCCTTCACCACAGGATTTGTAAAACTCATCCGTCTCCTCAGGACCTTACAGCTCTCCCGGATACAAAGACCTTTTAACTTGCCAGGGCAGTGAAAAATCTAAACCTTTTTCCTAGCAAATGGCCTAAATAATTCTATCCTGTAAGTTATGAAAGCCTAACAGTCTCTCCTGATTTCATCAGTGACAACTTCAAAGTGTCTGAAACATTAATAAATAAGGCTTTTCTGATTTCCACACACAAGAGAGAAGACAGTAAGAACAAGATTTAAGTTTGTGTCAATAGAAGGCATCTAATTATTTTTTAAATAACTGATTTTTTCTTCATGAGAATTCCTGGCTGTGCCCTTTCTCTGAGGAGTTATACAGTACAGCAAAAGGAATCCAAATATTTTTGCTCTGGGATAATCATGCTGTAATAGCAGTGGAAAGGGATTGGTTAAAACTAAGGGGAGGTAACTCATTTTAAAGCGTCCACATCTTCGAATTGCCTTAATCCAAGGCCCAGAACCATTCCTCAGGCTTACCTCCTTCAGATGCATTTTCTGCTCCCCAGGAAGATGGAACACATCTCACACAACCACATTTTATTGGCCTTTCACATCCTCCAAGGTCAGAAAAACCCTGTCCAAGACCTAGGGCAAAATCATAAAGCTCAGTTAAGAAAGAAAAAAAAAAAAAATAATCCAAGACACTAAAAATGTGCATTTCCATTTATCTGTTGATAAACATAGGGATATTAAACAGGCATAGCATACAGATATTTTGTTTCAGCCATTATTAGAACTGAAATTTACAGCAGTTATTTTTTTCACCAAGGACTAGTGATTGGGCTACAGACCAAGTTGTCAGACTGCCAGCTTCATTTGCACCTTACTGGAATGGGTTTTTTAGAGGCTAAAAAGCTAAATTTACTACCAAATCAACAAAGCTCTGCTAAATTACAACAGCAAGAAATGCAGGACAAATCCTCAATGAATTGGATTTGGCTCAAATCACAGAGCTGACAGCCTCTGTCTCTCAAGTCACCTTTCAGCAGGTCAGCAAACAGGCAATGACAGAGCCCAGCAGCATCCCAGCCCTCCTGTGCCAGAAAGTAAGGAGCAGCAAGAGGGAAACGAGACTGTGAAAACCTTCCAGGCCAACCTTAGGCACAAGAAACTGAGCTTAGTCTCGTGTGCTTGGCATCAAGGACATCTTCTTACTGAATAAATCAGAAACAGCTGCTCACTCCTGATCATATCCCCTTCACCTACATGACCAGCAGCTGGTTATCTCCTCCCTATCTCAGGAGCAGGCAAACTCATCCTGCCTCTTACAAAGTGATCTTAAATTCTATTGAATTAAGCATTAAATCTTATTTATCCTTACTGTGTAACTATCAGAGGGCTTCCCCCAGATGATGGTCAGCCAGGACCATCCTTCTTGATAAAGAAAGTCCTGAGAAAACTTTTTTCTTCAAACTATGATCCTTGCAGGTGTTATCAGCTAAGAGGGCAATGTTAGTTAATTGTTGCAAATCGCAGCCAAAAATCGGTCTGTACTGATATACTGCACTGAAATCCAGTCTGCCAAGACAGGCTTCCCAGATGTGGCTCCAGGCTTTTGGGATGGATGTGCCTACCCTGGAGAGAAAAGCACTGGATCAGCAGCTGATGTAAAGCAGCGGTGCCCTCAAGACAGCAGAAGGAGCCACATTGAACCTTCCAGCTAATGAGTAATTTTCACCTAAATATTGCAGTTTCCCAAGGCTGTACCGTCTTCTCCACCATCTGCACCAATCCACATCAGTGTTCAGTGCAACAGACACATCTTTGCCTCCTTGGGTTTTCAGATTGACCCCAGAATGGATGGGAAGAATGTCCCAGCTCTGAACTTGGCTTAGGCTGGGGCCATTCCTGCTCAGCTCTTCTGCTGCCCACCACATGCAAATGACAAAATACAGAGTGCAGCTGCCACTGGTGGCTGCACGGTCACCACAGAAGGGTTTGGAGGCTGTTGCCACTCTTACCATTGCTGAGGGGAACCTTGTGGTTTTTCCCTCCTCTGATTTCAGAAAATCAGCCCTTCAGACTGCTTGGAATAACTCAGAGGACCCTGCCTGTCGTGGGGTAGGGAAGCCTGGCACAAAATGCTCTGCTGGCAGGACTCTGGAGAAGAGCAACTGATAGAAGGCAGGCTATGAAGAGCATGAACATAAAAACTAAACCTGCTTCAGGCAAGCTTCAGAAGAGGCCCTTTGCCTCTCAGCTCTAAAAGGAGAGCTTAATTTCACTTCTGATTGAAGACCCATGTTATGCTTTAGCAGCCAGTGATCTCTGAGCAAAATAAAAACTGATTAGAAATCAAGAGCTGGGGACTGGCTTGAAGTTAATGAAGTCAATTTATCATAGATCCTGTTACAAGTAAAAATAAGAGACTGTGTCTCATGAAAGTCTGGGATAATGATTTCCCCGGCCCCAGTCAGCACTTCTAGAGAGAACAGCAAAATTAGTGGTCAAGGAAATGAAATGTACACAGTGATTTATATGCAGCCCTGGGTAATATCACTGAAATTAGTGAAATTAGCTCCAGGTATTATTTCTGCTCCTTAGGTAAATTATTTGAAACAAATGTGTGGGAAAACCCAATTTTTATATTAACTGACAGAGGCTTGAGTGAGAATGCATTTCCAGGGATGTAAACTTGTGGGGGAAAAACCCAAAAATAATTGCAAGAGAGATTAATCTATCATGATGGAATGATAAGGGACAAGGTCTAAATAACATAACAATTTTCATCATTAAGGATTTGCTAGAGAATGAGCTAGATCATTCACGCAATAGGTTAAATACAAAAATAAAATACTAATATTGGTCTTATAGAAATTAAAGAAGCCTAAGGGCCTCCAAGTCAGACAAGTGACTTGCAAGTGCCATAAAGAAGTGGTTCTGCTCTTTTCACTTCCAGGTGGAAGCAGTTGTGAGCAGAATGTGATCAGACCATGCAAGGTAGTGGAGACAAACAGGAGTGAGAAGCATTAGCTCCTTTTCATTTTCCCATCCCAGCTTTTTTTTTTTTTTCTCTTTATCGTCATCCAGCTAACTCTCCCAGATAATCATCCCACACAAGGTTTCTTTCTAAGGCATGTTAGAATAAACCCATCTACTCAAATATCAGTAGCATATCTTCAGCTGAGTTACAACTGAATGTCCTGCATCCAGTTGCTGCATTAACGCAGAATTATTATATTTCATAAGAAATGTCTTGAACTTCACATCTCAAAAGTGCTGCTCTATTAAAGACAGGCATGTTCTCCAACTCCTTGAATGCATCTTGAAAAATGATACCCTCTAAGAACCAGAAAAGGGTACTTAGGGGTTTTGACATTAACAGAGATGCTGAACATGGACTTGAGGCCTTGTCTTAACCAGCTCTGAGAAGTTCCACTTGCTTGTGGTTGGTGCTTGTGGTTTCAAGCACCAACCACAGCAAACAGCACAGAATAAAAGTCAAACACTGCATGCAAAGGAGCTGACATCACAGCTGAGCAGAATAATGCAGGTTCCCCGTGCTGTGGGAGAAGTGAGCAAGAACTGCATTGACATAACACCTCCTGATTTCACTCTGTATTGTTTCCAACTGCTAACAGGTAGTACCAGCAGTGGTGATGGGAAAGCAACACCTTTGGGAGATGCAAATAAAATTAAGGGACTGAAGGGGAAGTCAGATCTTGCTGCTTATTTTACCCCTGCTCTTGCCATATCACATGCTGCTTCTTTCTTCCTGACATGGCATTACCCACCAGAAAGCAGGTGGCTGAAAGATCCAGTAAGATTTTAGGGAAAGGAGCCCAGCACAGCCAATGACAGAGGTAAAACCAGCAGGTGACTGGGAGCTCTTCATTCTGTATAGAAGAGTCTCTTCACAGGAGAGGGCTCTGAAGTGAAGACAACTCAGAAAAAGGGGAGGGAATGGTACTTCCACAGTTTATAGTACCCTATAAAAGGCAGGTAACTGATATATTTTTAGAGTTTAAAGGTGGATTGGAAAATAAAAGGTCTTTGGGGTTTTTTTCCTTTTTTTTTTAAACCATACAGAAAGCAAACTTTACTGAACAAAGACATTAGGACTGCAGTTCAAAATCATTGCATTTGCTCATCCTCCTGCATCCAGCACTGTGGTTAAAGGTTCCTGCTTTCCACAGCTCCAGCCCAATGCTAATTCTGCTGCAACAGTGTCTGGCACCAGCAATCAATTTTCTACCCTTCATTCTCTCACTACCTGTTCCTGTATCTTCCCTTTCTTTGCTTGTGGTCCTGGACTGTGCTTCCTGCACTGAGGCACCCTTTCTGAGACCCATCACAGATCACTTTTTGCCACAGACAATCCACATTAATATTCCTGTCCCATGACCCCTCTGGAAAGAATTACTGATTTTGGTGCATCACCATTTTAAGAGTTTTGTATCTAGCTTCTGTCTCCAACAACTGCATCGTTGCCTTGAAAGTATCCCTTTCCATATTCCTCAACCTTCCCTTTCTGTCACATATCAGCCTTTTTTTAAAGCCCCCAAAACACTTCTAGCCCATATCTCATACTAAAGTAGCTGCTATAAATCTATGTATCTATAAATACAGACAACATGTGAAAGAAACCACACTGCCACAAGTTTATTCCCGTTTTGCTGTGGGATAAATAATCATTCTAGCACCATGTGCAGCACTGGGGATCTAATTTCCAAGTCAGAAAGATTCCAATTCAGGACTGTAAGAATATGGAATATGCAGTGATTCTGCAGAATTGCAGCCTTGAGCTGCTTCCTGCAGATCGGGCAGAATTGCTAATATCCAATGTCATTTGCTGGAAGTATGTGGCAGCTCAAGCATGGCCCATCTGTAATTATAAAGCTTGTCCTGTCAGGGAGAAGAACATTTGATACACACATCACTATCCCCTCTTACAAAAATTACCCCCTATTTATCCATGAATGAAATGGGAATTTTGCCTCAGCTGAGAGTGCCCAGTTCAGAGGCCATGAAGGACCTCCAATCTCTCTCTCAGTGAAAGCACATCCTTCAGGCCACGCTCTATCTGCCTGTAAAAACAGGCTCTTACCTGTGCAGTGCTTCAGTTGAACTTCCAGTATCAGTGTGTGGCTCTACCATAGGGAATAAATGCCTAATAATTGCTTCTCTTCCCTCTGTCTAGAGCAAAGATCTCAGCTCAGTCATACAATGGAAAACTGTGGGCAGCAAAACACCGCAGACCTATTACAAATAGATACAATTCTCTGGATTACAGTGAGTAAATTCCCTTCTACAGGGTGGAAGGTTATCTCCTAGGAAATTTTTATAACCAGATTATCAACATATCCAAGCACATCCAGGTTTATTGTGCTAAAGGGCCAGCTGCCACAACCATCCTGGCTGTGCTCATTTATACACTGTGAAAATATTCCCAGTGTCTCCATATCTGCACTCCTAATATAAAATATTTACCAGTGGGAGATTCTTTGGACCCTTTTTCAATTGCCAAAAGCTTGTTTGGTGCATCTCTAGGTAAGTGATTATTCAGGTTAAGAGTCCTTTATGTGGGACTAGGTCATCACCATAAGTCACCGAAATAGCAGCATTCCACAGGAATAAGAGCTAAAAAAGATCAAAGTTTGGACTTTTCAGACAATTCTCAGCTTTTAACTCCAGATATGACTCATTACCAGAAAAGCTGAAATGAGGGAAATCATGTCCTCTCTGAGCATACCTTGTGCCCAGTGTCCAGGCTTTTGAGCCATCTGTAAGGATGCAGCACACATAACACCCAAGTGTTCATAAGATCCTTCCTCCACAGAAGCACATTGCCACCCTCAGCATGAGAAGAAAAGTGTTTCTGAGAAAAGACAGAAGAATGGAGAATTAAACCAAGGGGATATCGAGAGACCATCAACTCCAAAGACATGGATGCTAAATATCTTGCATTTCACATAAACAGGGAGGGAATAGTAACTAGTGTAAAGGATCCAGGGAGAGACTTTAAGATACCCCCAGAGTAATGGACAGAGATTTTTACTCTGACATTTCAGGTTTTGATAGTATGAACATCATTTGCCTCTCCACATCAAAACACACATTTTTGAACCAACAGCTCTAACCAAGATCTAGATGCACAGCCCCACATCCTGCCCTTCAGAATTTTCCCAACTGGTCAGGA